GTAGAGTCAGGAGACCCGGGTTCAAGTCCTGGCCTTGCCAAATACCGAAGCCAAGTCGATTTCCTTCTCTGGGACTCAGTTTCCTCATCTGTAAAATGGGATGGTTACCTCTTTTAAAAAGCTACGTAAATGCTAGCTAGAGGTAACTCTCCCACCCCTTCGCTCACAGGATCGTTGTGAGGATAGAGCTTGGCACGCTGTAAAGCATCACAGGAACATTCGATCCTTCCCTGAATGCCTTCGGGGTGAGGCCTCTCTCCACCGACAGTTGAGGTTCTTTGCCCAGCCTTTGTATGAGGGGAGCAGCAATGTATTGTACTAGACAAAGGGCTGGGCTTTCATTTGAAAAGATCCAGGTCCATATCCCACCTCTAATACCTGTTAACTGTCTGACTACAGTCTGTTAATAGCCCCCCGGTGGACTCAGTGTTCCCATCTATAGAATGGGAATAATAGTGTCTGTGGTGCTCCCCCTCCCCCACTTACAGGGCTCTGGTGAGGTTAAGGTGAGATAATGTTCGGATGACATTGTAACAGCTTTAAACCGCACCAAGACTTTTGGGACGCATTGTATACGTGTTAATTGTTACTGTGTCTTTTCTGTAAATCATAGAATCATCGATCTGGAAGGGACCTCAGAAGGTACCCAATCCATCCAGCTTCCTCATTTTACAGAGGAGGAAACCGAGGGCCAGAGAGGCTGACTGCCCATGCCCACCCAGGGTAAAGGATTCACCAAACGCTGTGGGGACCTTCCTGGGCTGCTTTTCAGTATCCTGCGGCCCCCAGCTCAGACAGACATTACCCCTCTGCCACGCCTTCATCTCAGCATAAAGCCGACCCCGCAGGGCTATTCTAACCATTCCGCCTGAGACCCACTTCTGCCCAGCCCACTGGTCCGAGTCGGAGCTCTAAGTGGGCCGGACTACCAAAGGGGCACCTCATTAGCTCACCAAATCCTGCTTCAACGCCCGCCCCACGCAGAGCTGAGACTCCCCCACCTTGATCTCCCGATTTCTCCAGGACTTCATTGCTTCTAACCCCACCCTCTTCTCCTCTCTCCTGCCCTGTTTCACACCGCTCTCTCCTCCCCCAGGGCAGGGAACTCCCCCCCTCCCCACCATCCTACTTTGCCTTTCCTTAGTTCTTAGCTCACTATTCTCCAATGAAGTATTGAGAGGCACAGCCTTTTAAATGATCCACTCCAAGAGAGGGAAAAGATCATTAATAATAATGATAATAATAGTAATAATAATAAGCTATTACTTATAGTTAGGGCCGCTAGGTGGTGCCTTGGCGCACAGAGGTCTGGAGTCAGGAAGATCTGAGTTCAAACGTTCCCTGACACTTACTAATTGTGACACTGAGAAAGTCACTTCACCCTGTTTGCCTCAGTTTCCTCATCTGTAAAATGAGCTGGAGAAGGAAACAGCCAACCACTGCGGCATCTTTGCCAAGAAAACCCTAAATGGGGTCACGAAGAGTTGGACGTGGCTAAACAGCAACAGCAATGGAGTTTTAAACCAGGTCTCCCAGATTCCAAATCCATCCTGCTGCCCCCCATGGTAGGTCATCTAGTCCAGCCTCTATGTGAGCTGGAATCCCTCTGTAGCATCGCTAAATGGTTCTCCTTCTGGGCTGCTTGCATATGCTCATTTGACTTTTGGATGACTTTCATTGTTAGGAAGTTTTTCCTTAAATCTGCCTCTCTCTGCATTGCTCCTAGCTCAGTCCCCTTCCCACTCCAAATTCCTTTTTTTTTCTTTTTTAGGCAATTGGGGTTAAGTGACTTGCCTAGGGTCACACAGCTAGTGTCAAGTGTCTGAGGCCGGCTTTGAACTCAGGTCCTCCTGACGTCAGGGCCGGTGCTCTATCCACTGAGCCACCCAGCTGCCCCCCTCCAAATCCTTTTGATGTAGGATCTTGCTAGCTGTGTGGCATTGGCCAAGTCATTTCTTCCTCTGCGCCTCATCTGTTTGATGAAAGGGGTTGGACCAGATCGCCGATTTAATGCTGGAAAGGCCACCACAGCGCATTTAGTCCACCCTCTTCATTTTACATTCGTGGAAACTGAGTCTCAGAGAGGCTGAGTGATTGCCCAAGGTCACACGGCTTGGGACAGAGCCCGGATTTGAGCCTGGGTCCAGCCCTCTCTCCCTAGAACCTTGCTGCTTTCCCAAGGATCCCTCCGGCCTTCACCAGCCCTAGCTCCCATTGGCTCCTCCTTCGTGACTCAGAATTGATCCCAGTCTGCTTGAGTAGGAGCCCAGTCCTCAGTGGGGAGGACTTCCTGGGCCAGCCCAGTCCTGAGGCTCCCCTGACTCCCCGACCTTGTTGCCTCTCCCTCTCCCCTCCCTTCCCCCCACCCTTGAGCTGGGGTGCTCTAGGACCCAGTCCCCCTCCCTGCCTCGGCTGCCAGTGTATTCCCCCCAGCACTGGAGCCCAGGGGAGCAGGACAGGAAGACTTCAAAGGGGGCCCTGCTGCCTCCCCTGTCCTCCTGCGCCTCATTACTGAGATACCCGAGGCAGCAGCCAGAGCCCCTTTGAAGTCCGCTCACTGCCCGGCCTCCTCTCTCCCCCTCATCTTGGACTCACACGCGGATGGCCCCCCGCACACTCTCTCATACATACATCCACCCTCATGCACAAATCCAGACATACAGGCACTCGTACATAAACACGCACATTTCATGCCCATCCACATGCATAAACAAACATATACCCACATATGCTAATCTACAGTTGGGAGGCTTTTCACTCCTGCCCCTCATGGCATCTGGGCGTTTTCCTGGGCTGATCCCCCTCCTCACTTCCCGGCTTCCTTCAAGCCTCCGCTCAAATCTCACCTTCTGCAGGAGGCCTTCCGGGACCCCCACCCACACCTGGTACCTTTCTCTGAGCTCACCTCCCATTTACCCTGCCTTATCTTATACACAAATACTCTTGGCTCCCCCATTAGACTCTGAGCTGCTGGGAAGCAAGGACTGTCTCTGGCCTTTCTTTGTATCTTTAGTGCTTAGAACAGTATCTGGCACACAGTAGGTGCTCGATAAATACTTGTTGTCTGACTAACAAGATATATAAATAATAGTCCTGGTTTGCAATATTCAGCTTCCCCTGAATCCACTAGAAATGGATTTTTTTTAATTCTTTTTTTTTTTTTTTTATTTTTAGGCAATTGGAGTTAAGTGACTTGCCCAGGGTCACATAACTACTAAGTGTCAAGTGTGTGGTCTGAGGCCGGATTTGAACTCAGGTCCTCCTGACTTCAGGGCCAGTGCTCTATCCACTGTGCCACCTAGCTGCCCTAGAAATGGATTTTTTTAAAACAAGAGTTATTCAAACATGCAATTTACACCCTTACGTATACATAAACTCACATATATCTCATATACATATATATTTACACACACACACAATACATATCACAGACTCTTGCACAAATATACCCATAGAAAAATACACACACACACACACACACTCACTACCAGACCAAGGGGAAGGGACTCTGCTATCATTTTTGTTGGTCCTGCCCTCTCAAACAGGGCCAATGACATCATGGGGTGAAGTCTTGACTTGAGAGTGAATTGGATTTAAGTGAGGCAGCCTCATTCTCTCCTCCAGAGTCACGGGGAATCCAGTGTGCAAGACAAGAGTGCAGATGTCCAGTGACGGCCCAGTGGAAGGGCTCTACCATCTAGGCTAATAAACCCTAGGAGAGCCAGCCGGAGGGGAAGAAGCCTTTAAAGGGAAATAGGGAGCCTGAGTACAGAAGAGGGTTAGTGAGGCCTTTGAGCCATCTAGAGAGAGCACTGGGACCTTCAGACCATCCCCTGGGGTCTCCAGGAGTCCCAGGTACATGCTGGCTGAGCCGTGTGACCCACAGGGCCTGGCTTCCCTGCCCAGAGGGGCTGGGCACCACTGGACAGACCCGGGGCATGGTCCAGTTTTGAGAGTGGCTGGAGGAGCCCCTTGGCCCTTGCCTCAGTTTGAGGACACCACGTGGCCGTGATTGACAGTAGTTTTCACATCACCCCCCCATGAAAACAGTCTATGGAGTAACCCCAGCTCCCAGCCCCGCCCTCTGCAGAGACAGGGCGCCCTTCCCAGTTGATTGCTTAGGGTGAGCTCACATGCTGATCCAGGTACAGGTATTAACAAACTGACCTCTTTGAGGATGACCTAGAATCCTCAGGTAGGAACCTTTCAGCTTGGCCCAGGACAGAGGGAGCTCCCATACACTTCCCAAGTGTCCCAGCAAAAACAGGATGAGGTAGAGTGAAGACACCCGGTCCTTTCCGATTCTTCTACTTACATGTATGATCCTGGGCAAATCACCTCCCTTCTCCAGGCCTCAATTTTCTCCTCTCTCAAATGGGGATAATAAAACCTATTCCTCCTCTTCTGTGGGATTATTTGCCTCTTGGGAACCCTAAGCACTATAAAAATGTGAGCAAAAAGACAGAAAAAGCCCGATTATTTCCCATCCCATGTGACCTAAAGGAAGCCAAGTGGCACATGGGGCTTGCAGTCCTGAGTTCAAATCTGGCCTCAGACACTTACCAGCTGTGTGCCCTTGGGCAAGTCTCTTAACCCTGTTTGCCTCAGTTTCTTCATCTGCAAAATGACCTGGAGAAGGAAAGGGCAAACCACTCCACTATCTTTTACAGCTTTTCTATTCTTTCCAAAGTTCAAGTTCTAAGTCCCTTCTGACTGGCTGACGGTGCCCTCCCAGGAGGTAGACCTAGTGACATAAATTCACACTAAGGTGTAAAGGACTGATTTTGGAGCCTTTCATGAGAGAGGGCCAGTTTGGATAGGAAATGGGGAAGAGAGCACTAGGCTCCTGAAGTAAGGAGGGGAGGGGGAAAGACTGAATAAGCCAGAGCTTTCTGGCACATAGTAGGTGCTTATCAAATGTTTATTGACTGATTTTATGTGCAGCTGCTTCCCAGATCTGATGGAAGAATATGTAGGATTCTGGAAAGGACTTGGTGAGTAAGGTCTGGCTGCTGCATGTCACATAGGACCAACACATGGAGGGCAGGGGTGAGGCGATGGCCCAGAGGCAAGGACATGTTAAAAATGAATAGAGGGGATTTCAAAAGGCTTAGCATTATTTTAAGCTACATTATTAACTTCTGGGAGACTTCGTAGCTTGAGAGCATTTGCTCCATGGAACAATGCTGCCACCTGGTGGTCGGATCTGGTAATAAACTTGCCATGGCCCCAGGAGGGTGGGGGTAGAGGTAGCAGACAGGGCAGGACACCCATAGAGCAGGCTCTCAGAATCATAGATCATTAGGAGAAGGATTGTCAGAAAACAGAAAGTGCCAACTGGAAGGGAGCACTGGTCAAATGGGGCAGTAGAAAGGGAACTCAGTTTGGGAGTCAGAGCTACTTCTGTTACTCCTTGTATAATATTGGGCAAATCATCAAATCACCCTGGGCCTCAGTTTCCACATCTGTAAAATGGAGACTAGATGCTGTCTAAGGTCCCCTCCCTGCTCTAAATCTATGATCTGAGAGCACAGAACGTTAGAGCTAAGAGAAACCTTGGGAAGCATTTGGTCCAAGGCCCTTATTTTACAGAAAAGGAAACCGAGACCCAGAGAAGATACAGAATTTGTCCAAAGTCACACAGCCGGTTAGTGTGGCAGCTGGCATTTAAACTCAGGCCTCTCCACGCTCTTATCACCATTCCATATTGCCAAAGCTCAAGCCTTCCCTTCCAACTCTGACATCCCACGATTCTGTCCCGTTAAGGTAAGAGGTGAGGACGGCTGAGCTCAAACTGAAGTACTGAAGCCAGGTTTCTGGGCCATCCGAAGGACTTTGTACGTGTTCAAGCCAGGAGCATCAAAGCCTGGGGAGAGCCCCCTCTGGTCAAAGGGATAAAAGTTGAGGAGCTGGCCGTGTTGAGTCTCCAAGGGAAGCCAGGTTGCCCCCAGGGGCAGGACACAGGGGAACTCTTGGTCTACGACCACCTGGAAGACCCGGCCCTGCAGGTGATGCAGCTTCAGGGTCCGGAACTTGGCTGGGATCAGCTTCTCCACTTGGGGCCCAAACTGCCGCATGTGAAGGACCCCTGAGGGCCCTCGGAGGATCTCATAGAAGGTAAGGTTGGCATAGGTGTAGAAGCCCAAGTAAGGGCCAGGGCTAGGCGGTGGCGCCAGGCTCCCCTTGACCTCCCGGAAGGCTATCTCCATGGCGGGGATGAGGATATCGTACACTTGGGTCACCAGGTCGAGCCCCGGTGGACGGGGCCCAGCCATGAGCACAATGAAGCTGAGCTTCAGCTGAGGGACCAGGGAAAAGGTAGCTGCGTAGCCATCCAGATCCCCGTCCTTCCGGACAATGCTATATCCCCTCTGGGCGTGGAATTCCCATGGTGTGCCTGTCTGGTTGGCGAAGTAGGTCCCAGGACAGGTGAGGAGAGGAGTCAGCATGGTCTTGAGTGTATCCGGTGCCAAGACGCCCTGGGGGGCACTCCCAAGGAGCACCATGGCCAGCTTGGCCAAGTCAGCAGGTGTGGAGTACATCTGACCAGAGGGGCGATACCAGCCAAGGTCATAGAGTGGGGCTGGGCGCCCACTGCCGTAGAAGCCTGCAGCCATCCGGGCCTGGACCCAGGGCACGAGGTCAAAGCCTGTGTCCTCCATCCCCAGCCGATCCAGGATGTTCTCAGACACCCACCGCTGGTAGTCCCTGTTGTTGGTGTGCCTGGCCAGCACGTGGGCCAGCAGGGAGAAGGCCAGAGTGCTGTAATGACACCTGGAATGAGAGAGAAGAGACCTGCGATGGGGGCGCACAGTTCCAGATCCTTGGATGTGACCTATCTATGGGACATCCTCACTCTGGAATCTCAGCTTCCTCCTCTGTAAATGAGGGGCTTGGGCTAGGTGGTCTCTTGGGGCCCTCCCACTTCTGACATTCTCTGTTCTAGAGTCTCCCCCAGTTCTGACATTCTGTG